AATACAGAGGAGGAAATTGTCATTTCAGACTACATACTATTCATAGCAAAGAGAAAAATATGCTTGTGGTGAAACAAACAGAAGAGGTGAGAAAAATTACGCTTCATGTAAATAGTACGTGTATCAAAGTAGCTTAAGGGTTGATCCAGTAAGGTCAACTTTGACAAGATCATCGTACACTGCTTTAAATAAAGCCTCATTTAGAAAATTTTCTGTCTTTGACAAGTTCAAAGGAGTTGAATTCCCTCTACACTATCAAGCAAACCTTTCCAAGTAACCTTTTTTTAAAGAAACTTGTTTGAACAACACGGCAGGACCACGTTTAAAACTTGACCTTTGATCTCATTAGGAAAATTACTACCAGCTTAAGGTGAGTAAATAAATTCATGTGTTATCTTAAGTAGACCTGTTCTGTCTGTCATTTATTTATTTAGTAAGGACGAAAAAGAGGAAAAAACTCTGCAAATGAGCCTATTTAAGCTTCAGGTTAAATCTTACTCACATGCACTGGTGGAAAACCATAGCCAAACCAAAGTTGCGGCAGTGTGTAGCGCTAACTAAAATGGCTGGTACATTACGTAAACTAGAACAAAGGATTTCATCGACCTTTAAAATACCTGAGAGACAATTATTGACACACTGGGATGCTTTAGTCGTTTGATGACATGTCTGGAAAAGAAAGCCATGATATGCACGAGTCTGAAGAGGTTATTAACGCAGACCGAAATGCATCATGGGTAGAGTCTCGAGAGCTGGCCGAGAGCTGGCCGAGAGCTGGCCGAGAGCTGGCCGAGAGCTGGCCTATGGACACATTCGGAACCGGTGGGGTGTCCCCCAAAAAGAAGGTTGGACTGGGGTTTATTAATAATTATCCAGCAAAGACAACATAAAAATCATCACTAACATATCTCTGCGACATTATAGGTTGAATTCACACAAGTGCATTACATCGATTTGAATAACATAGCTCAGTTTGTGCAAAGTTTCACAATTGCAATTTGCGTGCTCTTAAAGATGTCAACCTTCTGTGTGGTCAGCCACTATTTGAGTGCTAAGGCGTCCCCTGAATGGAGTTTAAGCTTGGATTTCAGAACCCAGAAAAAGCTGTGTCCCTTCAATAGAGGTAACAGATACAAAAATTATGTGGGCGTTTTTCCGGGACCAAATTTTTTGTGTTCCTTGAACAGAGGTGCCCCAAAGGAGAGGTTTCACTGTGGTGGAGTAAGAGAGCGAGAAAAAAAAACAAAGGAGGGAAAGAGGGAGAGCTCTCGCCTCCTACCCCAGCCCCTCGCTGGGCACAATCTGAACGTCTGGAACAGTTAACAGGCTAGTCAAGAGCTCGACTTTTCCCACGGCCACACCCACTTTGAAAAAGAAATTTANTGTTCTGTCTGTCATTTATTTATTTAGTAAGGACGAAAAAGAGGAAAAAACTCTGCAAATGAGCCTATTTAAGCTTCAGGTTAAATCTTACTCACATGCACTGGTGGAAAACCATAGCCAAACCAAAGTTGCGGCAGTGTGTAGCGCTAACTAAAATGGCTGGTACATTACGTAAACTAGAACAAAGGATTTCATCGACCTTTAAAATACCTGAGAGACAATTATTGACACACTGGGATGCTTTAGTCGTTTGATGACATGTCTGGAAAAGAAAGCCATGATATGCACGAGTCTGAAGAGGTTATTAACGCAGACCGAAATGCATCATGGGTAGAGTCTCGAGAGCTGGCCGAGAGCTGGCCGAGAGCTGGCCGAGAGCTGGCCGAGAGCTGGCCTATGGACACATTCGGAACCGGTGGGGTGTCCCCCAAAAAGAAGGTTGGACTGGGGTTTATTAATAATTATCCAGCAAAGACAACATAAAAATCATCACTAACATATCTCTGCGACATTATAGGTTGAATTCACACAAGTGCATTACATCGATTTGAATAACATAGCTCAGTTTGTGCAAAGTTTCACAATTGCAATTTGCGTGCTCTTAAAGATGTCAACCTTCTGTGTGGTCAGCCACTATTTGAGTGCTAAGGCGTCCCCTGAATGGAGTTTAAGCTTGGATTTCAGAACCCAGAAAAAGCTGTGTCCCTTCAATAGAGGTAACAGATACAAAAATTATGTGGGCGTTTTTCCGGGACCAAATTTTTTGTGTTCCTTGAACAGAGGTGCCCCAAAGGAGAGGTTTCACTGTGGTGGAGTAAGAGAGCGAGAAAAAAAAACAAAGGAGGGAAAGAGGGAGAGCTCTCGCCTCCTACCCCAGCCCCTCGCTGGGCACAATCTGAACGTCTGGAACAGTTAACAGGCTAGTCAAGAGCTCGACTTTTCCCACGGCCACACCCACTTTGAAAAAGAAATTTACAGATGCATTTTTAAAGCAGGAAATCATGTGGAGTTTTTTATTATTTATTTTCCAGTAGAATGTCGCATAATTCGCGCACTTAAGGCATTATATCTCGATAAAGGACGCGCGTAACGTAGACCATATGGGGCAACAAACTCTTTCTATCGATTTTAGAACAACATTCGTGTTTCCGTGAAATTTTTCAAAACAGTACATTATGCTACCGTGTTCGAGAAGTAAAATTTTATTTATTTTGATTCTTGTCGTCCTTTCTGTAATGTTTGTTTGGTATAAAAAATGTTTGTTCTCCAAAATCAGCTAGCCTTTTTCTCAAAATCGAGTTAATGTAACTCTGTCGTGTTAGATTTCTCAAACGGCACCGGCTTTTGATTTCCAAAATTTGTCGCGTTTGATTTCTCAAATGGAACTAAATCATTATGATTTCTTAATTTGAAACCTTAGCTGTCGACTTGAATCACCGGGCGATAAATCGCGTATATCGTTACTGTAAAAAAAAAGGTGGTTCAAAATACAGTTTCGTATCAAACATAAGAGATCAATACATGAATTTCCATGCTTCAAGTCACGGGCCGAGGTTCTTGGTTTTCATTCTCAAGAAGTGGACTGCGGCTTAATAGAACGCATACTGTGTGGCAATATTTTTACCGCTTTCCTTGCGATACGCAAAAAAATTTCTACCAAAAAAGCTGCAGTAACATTTGATTTGCAATGTTATAATACGTATCGAAATACGTTCAGTTTAACAAACATCGTCATTTACGAGAAGTGTCAACGTATGAACTTTAGCATGAATAACACCCTGGCTTAAAGCACTGAACTGACCACACAAGAGCAATTATCAATTATTAAAATGACAAAACTGTTACTACTTGGAATAAATACAGCGTTTGGTATTTTTATTTTAGAATTTCTTTCCCCTGTATTTTAAATCTCGCAAACGCAGGAAACTTGTATGCACTTTCTTAGAATCACAAAGAGTAACCCCACAGAAAAGAAACTTGACCGGTCAATCGCAAAATATAAGAAAAGTCCCCCAACAGCAAAATTAGGCAATGTTCACATTATAACGGATAGTAGTTTTTCGTGCCGACACTAAAATCTGTCCGGTTTTCTATAAACACCTCTCCGTTACAGAAATCTTGCCAAAACCACTGTTCTTATGTGCGAACAGAAGCCCTCTCCGGTAAGGTTCTCGTTCTGGCGCAAACGCTATCCATAGGGTGAAAATAGTCTTAAACTCCCGCAAAAATAAAGTGCCAAGTGATAGCTCCTTGATCCATTTCAATCGCAAGACAGAATTTCAAGGCCAGCCTTCACAAAAGGTCTTCTATCTTCACCTCTTAATTCTACTGAAATCTGGCACGGCTATCACTGGGTGTGGGCGATGACCTCAAGATAGGCTTTTGCATGGTCACTATTTCTAAGTGAATCGAATGTTTTCGCAGTCTTGCGTTGATTTAAACTACGAGAGACGGATTATCCATGTTAGTCAAACTTGGGGAAGTATTTTTAGGTGGGAATGTTTAGGGGGAATTCGTTGAACCTAAAGCTTGGAGCATCCCTCTTGCTGACCGTATCTACTTTTCTGCCTCGCAATCCCGGGTTGGTGGAGTTGGGCTACTGGCTACTGATCCGCAAGGAGTTCACAAACTCACGACTACGTTTCGGACCGATTTCTGAAAGTATACTTCAAATGCAACCATCTGGTAGCAACGCGCCCGCGCAAACGGGGCTTAATATTAAAGGTGAATTTTATAATTCTGACATGAGATTATTTCGTTTTATTGATTACATTCCCCTAAGCGTGAAGGAGTTATATAGAAATCGGTCTATATTTTCACCGATGGTTTCACTGAAGATAGCGACGGCTTGCCGTTTGAACTATATATAATCAGCTAGAGAAAGCTGTAAAGTGATTCCACTAAATGTTTCATTGAAGACCTTAGTGATGAGAATTAACCCCCCAAAACGGCATCTCTTCCCTAGAGCACTATGAGTTTACTTCATAATAGTTTCACTATCAGTTGTGTGGGTTGATGCTTAGGCTCAAAACTATACCAACTTAAAACTTGCTCTGGTAATTCACGACACGAAAACAATCAAATCCTTACCTTGGTTCCTGTCAACAACAGAGGGGCTACTAAAAATTTAGTGTTTAACATTGGGAACGGAGTTATTACTTCATTCAAGAGGTACAAAATAATCCCTAAGCATCCTAAGTGCTGGAAGTACCTTTTCGCTTCAGCGAGTCAGCCAAAGAGCTTTCTATCTAACGCATCTTCCTTTCCCATTTTTATTGGGCTTTCCTTTCCTTAATCAACATTGAAAGGAACTATTTTGCCTTTTTCATTCACGACCAAACAAAGACGAAGACGGTAGCGTAATTAGAAACTAAACAGCCATACCCATACACAACATACTCCTATATATTAGGAGTTATGAAGAAGTTAGGAAACAAATTTCATCAGGGAGAGCACTAACCATTGCTTTATGCAGACATAAAATTAAGACTTCAAAAGGCTGGAACAACTTTTTAAAGAGTATTATTTCTGAATGCCTAAATAGAATCTTAAATAACAAAATTGGACCATTCTTTTTGAAATTCAATTGATGCAAAGACTCTGAAAAGACAAGTCGGTTTAGCTATTAAAAATCTGAGAGAGCACTAGCAAAAGGCAATATAGCGGCAACATTCTAATTACTGAGCAAGCAGAAAAAACACAAGCACAAAACTACATTCAAGCAAATTAAATAAAACTACCAGAAAAATAGATTAATGAATTTTACAGGAAAATGTCATGGCTGGCTACATGGGCAGCCGTTATCAGTGAAAGAATTCAGACTCATAGTTGCCTTGCTCCGGCCTTGTCTTCGGGCGAAGGCAATAAATGTTCCCAGTTTATAGTTAGTTGTTAGAAAGTTTTCCAGTTGAGAATATATTTCGACACATTAAAGAATCTCTTAACCTTGGAGACCTTCTTCCTCTGATCAGGCTAGCACTCATGAACAGAAATTAAAATGGAGCTGAAAGGAAGGCCGACAACATACAGAGTTTGCGACCGAGGAATGTAGAATTGTTAGAGAGAATTAAAGAAGAAATTAACTTAGTCTGGACCGTCAACCCACCTCAAAGATTCTAGTGCGAGAGCAAGGTAACAAATACCCTGCGAGCAGAGGCCCTTCGATCTTCCTAGATAAGTCGGGAAGAGGAAGAGAGGAAATCAAAGAAAGTCGAGGAGGCTGGCAGCGGTCCCTTCCTCTTCCCGACTTGTCTAGGAAGATCGAAGGGCCTCTGCTCACAGGGTAGGTAACAAAGTTTATTAGTTGCATTTTCGTTCCTTCTCAACGACCTCAAGTCCTTTGTGCCGCTTTAACAGTGAAACGAGGATATTCAACAGTTATTGAACAGCAAGGACAGTGTTGCTTACGCTTAACTTAAACACTTAACGGTTTTACTGCCCAACGACACAGCGTTGTAGCAATACAGATTCATTGAAACTTAAACACCTTTATTTATGTGCTTTAGTTTGGTCTATTTTGCCATGCTAGTACAGTGGCTTGTAATCGAGAAACTTCAATCTGTCATCAGCCGAATTAACTGCGTTGCCTTGCTAAACATGGCTCTGTTTGAGTTCGTGGTTTTTTGCTAAAATGACGCTGGGTTCGAGGTCTTTTAGTCAGTAAGCAACAACGTTTTTCTCATGATCCAGATTTTCACAGTAGAGATCGTCTTTCTCATTGTTCAATGCAACAATGTGTTTAGATGTAAGATAAAATCACTGTAAGACTAACATTGACGTAACTAGGAATTAGAAGAATAAGATTTGTGGACCGGTAGCTTTGAAATTCTAATAAAGTGTGATAAAATCATTGAAAGACAAAGAGAAATTCTTTCATTTCCTCAGGCCTTGAACACGTATCAGCATAATTCAGGGGCACCCTACGACGGTTTCCTCCGACATACATTGAAAACACTTTTTAGGCTATTCAGAGTACTTTTAGATCTCTAGAAATGTATTCGAAGCGGTGCTATAAAATTTGTATCTGTTCGGTCATCCTAGGGCAACTTGAGTCTGTTCGAAATCATTAGGGCTCCAGTATTTCTTTGCCGAAAATTTTAGATGCAATTTAACGTTTTACGAAAGTGCGAATTTACCTAATTCCTCTGTACGTCGCATTTTTGAGTCCGAACATTTTAGGTTTCTCTTTTACTACGAAACGTAGCCTAACCTGGGGAGTAAAATGTGAGAAATTAAACTTCAGAAAATCGTAGCAGATTTATTGGAAAAGCTTCGAAAATTGTACACCCCCGGTCATCTAGAAATTTTTAGCTGTCCTCAAGTAATCGAAAATTCTAGGCAATATTTGCCTAGATATTTTGTCAGGGGCACCCAACAGATTTACAATGTAGATGATTAGTAGGTTAAAAACTCTAAAGGGTAGCAGTGACAGGTGATGAATTAACACTCAGTTAGCTGAAGTTGTAGATAGCCTAGCAAACAGTAACAAACTAATTCAGTGCAAAACACATGATGAAATGTGCGGCTTATCAGACTTAGCAGAGCGAATAGCAGTGTTTAGAGTAATGCCCAGACAACAGATACACAAAAGTTTATCATAATTGTAACATTACCCATATGTTGCTCTCGCGATTGGAATAATGAACAGTTCAATGATAGCATTTCATCTGTGTTTCATTCTGGGAGAACCTGCGGATTCAAGTGAACACAAAGGAGTAAATGTTAAGCAGAGATCAATATTCTCTCTAGTACAGAACACGAAAGTTATCAGTATATTATCCGGGGTGATACTATGTATGTATGTATTCTTCTTGGTGGTGTTCACACGGGGCTGAGCTCTTTTCTTCATTGAGTTCTTTACAAACAAATCAATTTAATCAACCATTTTACGTCCAAGGATGCTGTAAAAACTAGCCATACAGTTTGCCAGTTCCGACACCCAATTTGAACACTGCTTGTTCATTGCCTGCGATAATTGGGGAATTATAATAAGTATAAACACAAGTTAAAACGAAGAGAACAGTCGACCTAGGTTAGTTTCAAAATTGTTGAGTAGCGGTTATGGTGATAGACTAAAACTTGTAGTGTATGGCGACATGAGTGTTGTGACGACGGGCCATTCTGACATGACTGCTAAAATATTTGGAGAGTTTAAACATACACCGAGTGCCGGGTTAGGTTGGTAAATAAGGAGAGAAATATTCTCAAAAACTAAATTAACTAAGCAAAAGGGTAACATCACCACCAGAGTTAAGTGCTTTGAAGCACAACTTCAATCACCCTGGGAAGCAGTAGTCTAAAGAAACCAAATGAAAAAGGTCCCGATAGAAAGTCTCGTCGTTCGCTGCTAGCAAAGGTCTCTCACGACGAGGCAAACGTTAAGTTGTGCACATGTATGTATAAAACGCACATAACTTGAATAATACACAGATCAACATTTGTTGTTCAAGAATTGTGAAAAATGCTGTAGCTTAATTGCTGAGAAGAAAACAACCCACCACTTGTAAACGCTCACCAAAGTGTAGCGACTTGAATTGGATAAGTAAGAAGTTACTGGCGTCTTTATGTTGAATCGTCAACTTGACACTGACGATCACAGATGATTCGCGTAAAAGGAGCTTAATTCTATCAAAATTCCCAAACACCTTTCTAGTCTACGTCAATAAATGACGCCTGGAGCACTATGAGTTTACTTCATAATAGTTTCACTATCAGTTGTGTAGGTTGATGCTCAGGCTCAAAACTATACCAACTTAAAACTTGCTCTGGTAATTCACGACGTCAAAACAATCAAATCGTTACCTTGGTTCCCGTCAACAACAGAGGGGCTCAGTAAAAATTTAGTGTTTAACATTGGGAGCGGACTTATCACTTCATTCAAGAGGTACAAAATAATCCCTAAGCATCCTAAGTGCTGGAAGTACCTTTCGCTTCAGCGAGTCAGCCAAAGAGCTTTCTATCTAACGCATCTTCCTTTCCCCTTTTTATTGGGCTTTCCTTTCCGTAATCAACATTGAAAGGAACTATTTTGCCTTTTTCATTCACGACCAAACAAAGACGAAGACGGTAGCGTAATTAGAAACTAAACAGCCATACCCATACATAACATACTCCTATATATTAGGAGTTATGAAGAAGTTAGGAAACAAATTTCATCAGGGAGAGCACTAACCATTGTTTTATGCAGACATAAAATTAAGACTTCAAAAGGCTGGAACAACTTTTTTAGGAGTATTATTTCTGAATGCCTTAATAGAATCTTAAATAACAAAATTGGACCATTCTTTTTGAAATTCAATTGATGCAAAGACAAGTCGGTTTAGCTATTAAAAATCTGAGAGAGCACTAGCAAAAGGCAATATAGCGGCAACATTCTAATTACTGAGCGAGCAGAAAAAACACAAGCACAAAACTACATTCAAGCAAATTAAATAAAACTACCAGAAAAATAGATTAATGAATTTTACAGGAAAATGTCATGGCTGGCTACATGGGCAGCCGTTATCAGTGAAAGAATTCAGACTCATAGTTGCCTTGCTCCGGCCTTGTCTTCGGGCGAAGGCAATAAATGTTCCCAGTTTATAGTTAGTTGTTAGAAAGTTTTCCAGTTGAGAATATATTTCGACACATTAAAGAATCTCTTAACCTTGGAGACCTTCTTCCTCTGATCAGGCTAGCACTCATGAACAGAAATTAAAATGGAGCTGAAAGGAAGGCCGACAACATACAGAGTTTGCGACCGAGGAATGTAGAATTGTTAGAGAGAATTAAAGAAGAAATTAACTTAGTCTGGACCGTCAACCCACCTCAAAGATTCTAGTGCGAGAGCAAGGTAACAAATACCCTGCGAGCAGAGGCCCTTCGATCTTCCTAGATAAGTCGGGAAGAGGAAGAGACAAAATCAAAGAAAGTCGAGGCGGCTGGCAGAGGTCCCTTCTTCTTCCCGACTTGTCTAGGAAGATCGAAGGGCCTCTGCTCACAGGGTAGGTAACAAAGTTTATTAGTTGCATTTTCGTTCCTTCTCAAGGACCTCAAGTCTTTTGTGCCGCTTTAACGGAGAAACGAGGATATTCAACAGTTATTGAACAGCAAGGACAGTGTTGCTTACGCTTAACTTAAACACTTAACGGTTTTTCTGCCCAACGACACAGCGTTGTAACACTAGTACAGATTCATTGAAACTTAAACACCTTTATTTATGTGCTTTTAGTTTGGTCTAAATTGCCATGTTGTTTGTTGTTGCTAGTACAGTGGCTTGTAATCGAGAAACTTCAATCTGACATCAGCCGAATTAACTGCGGTTGCCTTGCTAAGCATAGCTCTGTTTGAGTTTACGGTTTTTTGCTAAAATGACGCTGGGTTCTAGGTCTTTTAGTCTGTAAGCAACAACGTTTTTCTCATGATCCAGATTTTCACAGAAGAGATTGTCTTTCTCGTTGTTCAATGCAACAATGTGTTTAGATGTAAGATAAAATCACTGTAAGACAAACATTGACGTAACTAGGAATTAGAATAATAAGATTTGTGGACCGGCAGGCTTTGAAGTTCTAATAAATTGTGATAAAATCATTGAAAGACAAAGAGAAATTCTTTCATTACCTCAGGCCTTGAACACGTATCAACATAATTCAGGGGCACCCTACGACGGTTTCCTCCAACATACATTGAAAACACTTTTTAGGCTATCCAGAGTACTTTTAGATCTCTAGAAATGTATTCTACGCGGTGCTATAAAATTGTATCTGTTCGGTCATCCTAGGGCAACTTGAGTCTGTTAGATCATTAGGGCTCCAGTATTTCTTTGCCGAAAATTTTAGATGCAATTTAACGTTTTACAATGTGAGAATCTATCTAATTCCTCTCAACGTCGCATTTTTGAGTCCGAACATTTTAGGTTTCTCTTTTACTACGAAACGTAGCCTAACCTGGGGAGTAAAACGTGAAAAATTAAACTTCAGAAAATCGTAGCGGATTTATTGGAAAAGCTTCGAAAATTGAACACGAATGGAACGGTCATCTAGAAATTTTTAGCCGTCCTCAAGTAGTCGAAAATTCTAGGCAATATTTGCTAGATATTTTATCAGGGGCACCCAACAGTCGTTGGGTGCCCCTGATAATTTATGGGTAGAGAGAGAAGATCACAGATTTACAATGTAGATGATTAGGTTAACAGCTCTAAAGGATAACAGTGACATGATGATGAATTAACGCTCAGCTGCCCGAAGTTCTAGATAGCCTAGCAAACAGTAACAAACTAATTCAGTGCAAAAAACATGATGAAATGTGCAGCT